CTTCAGCTGATGTCCTCGTCTGCGGTGTCTTCAGCTCCTAGGGAAACTGGCTTCCCGATCCAGCACTCTCTCAACACATGACAAATACGTTAGTCTTCATATATCCAAAAGCAATATTCGCCTACGTATAACCACTAGTGTTTGTGTACTGTGTTCCCGGGTTCCAACTTTCACTATCAGTGTGTTGCCATGTGGGCCAGGGTGAGCCGCCGCCGGCAGTTGTCTTTCTCTTTCTTAGGAACAATCTATCTGTTTTTAAACCGCAGATGATACATTGTTAAATGGCTGCAATATTTTAATCCTAGTACACAATCTCCTTCCCATGCCCGTGATCATACTCGTCAAAGAGAAGCACGCTTCAAATCAGCGAGAAAAATGCAATTTGGCTACTCGGCCACGCCTGTGAAGGTCGCTTATTTTCTCGGAGTTCTCAAGGGCAATTTCACATATATCTGCGCCTGTTTCTGAGCTGTCTCTAGTGACGAACTACTAGTGCCTTCGGTGTTAGTACTTTATTATGCATCATTATGTCTGTTATTTCATAACCTAAGAGAATGGAATAATCGATAGCTATCAGTTATGATAGGGATGCGATGCGATTATTTAGAGAGCGCAACCCATTATTGGATTAATGCTTCTCATTTTTTTACTGAATAATGAAAGGAAACACGAGAATGCAATAAATAAGACCTCTCTTCTTCGATTACGATTACAGCTATAATAATTATGAGGGTTAATATAAAACTCCCCATAACACACACACATGCATTATACATGCATGCACTGCATTAGCTTGACAGCAGCAAAGGATTAGGCTGAAACATTTTTCCATGCTGCCAGATATAGAGCGTCGCAGAGATTCTGATATCGAGGTTCCTCGGTCGAGCCGCCGCTGCCAGATGGCGTCTTCGCTTTTTTTTGTCTGATTTGCAAGGCAGAGCCTCGCCCGGGCTATGCCCATGAGAGGAGCCCGGTTGTTGTTCGCGTCTTCGCTCCCGCGGATACTGTATTCATGCTCGGCAACAACCCAAAACGTACTGCATACCTGAGTTGTAACATTTACCCCAAGGCTACAGGATTTCTAGAATTATGTGGTAAATGTGACGGCGATGATTCAGGTATCAACGCAAATTGATTTGATTTTTTTTTGTCTTTTAGAACCAATCAGATGTGCTTCTTCGAAAAGGTAAAGATGCTATTGTAGCGAAATTATTATCTTGAAACGTGACAATTCAGGGCCGTTCCAATAACTAAGGGAGGCAAAACGGGAGGCACCTACTTGAGATATCAAACAAAAAATTCACACAGGGAAATTGCAACATGCGTTATGTTTAGAACTAACGCTTTTCATCGGATTTTTCTTTTTCTTTTTCTTTTTCTTTTACAAGAAAGAAAACAGAAGCCAGCAATTCTCGAGGATGAATCGCGCTACAGTGATCATACTGGACAGCCGTGTTAACAGAACGCATAACACACTTTTAAATATAATATATGGCTATTCATCTACCCCCTATGATAAAATTTGAAATGGAAGGCGGTTAAAAACTCAAAAACGCAATTTTAAACATTTCATTTCTACTTGTCGCTACGGTTAATGCCTTTAAGTAGTAAGTACGAATCTAAATCAGTATGAGAGAGAACAAAACTTGTGCTTACTATGAAAAGCGATCTGTTGCTTGGGGGATATAGCAGGTTCAGTTCACGGAGATATGCGACTGGGGATGGAAACGGAGACTCTTACGGCTAATCTGGTGTAGATAACACCCAGATAACCGCTATCTCTGTGCTTTTATGATTATGAAGATGATGATAATGATAATAACGATAATGATAGTAATGAAGTCTTAGTCGTAGTAGTAATGACAAGAATTATTATGATAATGATAATAATAGTTACAATGATGATAATAATAATAGTAATGGTAATAAAAAGATAATGTTGATGATAATGATAATATTGATAATAATGATAATATTGATAATAAGGATAATAAGGAAAATTATGATAATGATAGCAATACTACCAATAAAAATATTGGTAATTGTGAGCATAACTGTAATAATGATAGTAATACTAATGATAAGGATAATGATAACAAAGAAAGTAAATATGATAATGGAAATTGCTAGAAAAGATGATGATAATTATATTATCATAATCATTATTATTGATTGTATTATTATTATTATAGTTATTATCATTTGTATTGTCATTATTCTTAACGATATTATCATTTTCATCTTCATTATCATTGCCATAATCACTAGTGTTATTATGATAATTTCTATTACTATTATTTTTTCATTGTCATGATTATGATTATGATTATTATTGTTGTTATTATTATCATTATTATTATTATTGATAATGTTGTTATTATTATCGATATTAGTATTATTAATATTATTATCATCATCATTAATATTGTTATTATGATTATTATTATTATTACTATTATTACTATTGTTATTATTATTGTTATTATTATCATTATTATTATCATTATTATCATTATTATTATTATCAGTATCAGTATCACCATGTCATCATCAACTTTTAATATCATAATTATGAAATATTGTTATCATCAGTATTATTATTGTTGTTGTTATTATTATCATTACTATTATGATATTATACTATTATTTATTGCTATTATTATTATCATTATCATTATCATTATCATTATCATTATTATTGTTATTATTACTATTATTATCATTATTGTTATTATTATCATTAGTGTTATCACTATTATACTTATTGTTATCACTATTATCATCATTGTTCTTATTATCATTATTATCATTATTGTTGATGTTCCTATCATACTATTATACTATTTATTATTATTATCATTATTATTATTATTATTATTATTATTATTATTATCATCATTATTATTATTGTTGTTATAATTATTATTATTATTACTATTAGCATTATTATTATTATTATTATCATTATTATTACTATCATTATTATTACTATTATTGTTATAATTACTATTATTATTATTTTATTATTATCATTATCATTATCATCATTGTTCCTGTTATTCTTGTTATTATTATCATCATTATTATTATTGATATTATAAGAGCAATGATTAGAATGACAGTAATAATGATAATGATAATAATAGAAATGATAATAATAATGATAATGATAGTAACAATAATAATAATAATGATAATAATAATAATAATAATAATAATAATGATACTACTACTACTACTACTACTACTACTAATAATAATAATAATAATAATAATAATAATAATGATATTGCTAATAATAATAATACTGATAATGATAATAATAATAATAATGATAATAATAATAAAAATAATAATAATAATAATGATAATAATAATAATAATAATAATAATAATAATAATAATGATAATACTAAAAATAATAATGATAATAATAATAATAATAATAATAATAATAATAATAACAATAATAATGATAGTAATAATAATGATAATAATGGTAACAATAGGAAATATGGTAATGGTAATGATAACAATTGTAATGACAATAAGAATAAGGACAATGATAATAGTAATAATAGTAATTATGATAATGATGATGATAATGAAAATGAAAATGATAATAATGATAATGATAATGAAAATAATAATAGCAATAATGTTTGTAGTAATGATAGTAATAATGATAATGATAATAATAAAAATAATGATAATAATAACAACAATGACAATAATTATAATGACGATAATACTATTGATAATAACAATGATAACAAAAATATTGATCATGGTGATAATAATGATAATGAAAATTATGATAATAATGATAATGATAATGAAGATAATAATAACAATGATAATGATTGTTATGATAATAATGAAAATAAGGATTAAAATCATCATCACCATCATCATCATTATATTTATATTGACATAATAATGATAATAATAATGATAATTATAATAATAATAATAATGATGATGATAATAATAATGATGATAATAATAATGATGATGATAATGATAATGATGATGATAATAATAATAATAATAATAACAACAATAATGATAATAATAATAATAAAAACAGCAACAACAATAAAAATGTTAACAAATCTCAGCATACTGACAAAATACTGAGACCGCAATGACAACAACACCAGAGATGGCTTAAATCAGAAAAAAAAATTACATATATGATTTTTTTATTTTATGTATGGAAGCAGCCATAGGAATAGTAACGACAGTAATGAACCAGTGTGACAGAAGTTGGTTTGCGTATCCGAGTAAGATTGTTGACATCACCGGTGTCTGTATCTAAACTGAGTGTGATGCATTCAGTCTCTCATCATGACCCGAAGCCTGCAGCACAAGGAGCTCGTGAGCAGCTTTATGGGCGACGCGTGAAAGCGCTGCTTTCGGTGGGATCATAAAAAGGCTGCTTTCTTAGGACGGCGTAATCAAGGCGACAGCGCCCCTGCCTTTATCTTCAGCACAGTCAAGACGACCTCAGGCCAGAACGCGTCGCGTGGGAAGCTTTCTGGATCATTCTCAGAGACGAAGGTCTTTACAGCCTCCCGGGCCGCTCGGTGCACCTGCGAGATAAGAAATTATTCCCCCTATCGCATCACCCTAATGAAAATTCAGGGCCGACGCTGTGGCTGGGGACGTGCGAGAGGCAGGGATGAATAAGCCGTTTAACGCAAATTGCTCTCTGGCAAATGGATCCTGTCGCGCGGTGAGTGACAGTTCGGCCCGTCATCGAATTCCGCAGATGAGCAGCAGCGGCTCAAGGCACAGATGTGATTAAGGGACATTTCGAAAGTGGAATTACTTTACAGGAAGTCTGCCCATAAGGATATGCTCTATGCGCCATAGCAGGTACGGTGAAGGTGTCACGAGTCAACAGAAATAAGGATGAGACAGGATATGATCCTAAGATCTTTTCTTTGCTGTTTCACCTTATCTATATGCGTCATATAATATGAAATTGTAACAATAATCTATATATTCACACACACTATCACTGTGATACGCCCAGCAAAAATAGTCCGGATCTTTGCCACACAAAAACGCTGGTGCTGTTGACCGATCAAGGACGTCTCTTTCCAGGTACGTGGCGCATCAACAAGGGAAAGGCAGACAAATGCTCTCTATTGTAAAGCTTGCACTTCCAAGCTGCCCTGTAACTTTTAAGGTTGAACAATGTCGTTGTAAACTACAAGTTGTTCATATCACCAAAAACAAAACAGAATTATATGACATTAACAAAAAATGCGTGACCACGCTAAAACCT